GTGTGAACGGTGAGCACGCGAGAAGGAGGGAAGGTCAGATGGGGCCCTGTGGTGTCGTTGCACTTCCCTCTGCGTGTCCCTCAGTGGGTGTGCGCAGAGGGACAGCAGCTCCCAGGGACTGATACATTCCTCACCACCTGACCTGCTGTCTCCTCTCTGCAGACAAAGCCCCTCTACCAGGCCCATTGCTCTCACAGGAGATCAAGACCCAAGAGGGCCTGAGCTCTCGGACCCAGGCTGATGGCCGTCTGTCTCGGCTCCACTCCTACCAGAACCCCACCACCAGCTCCATGGCCAAGATATCCCGCAGCGTCTCTGTTGGGGAGAACCTGGGCCTGGGAGCTGAACCGCAGGCTCCTGCTCCCACCCGAGTCTCACCACTCAGCAAGCTGGCAATGCCCAGCAGGGCTCACCTGGTCCTGGACATCCCCAAACCACTGCCCGACCGCCCTACCCTGGCCACGTTCTCACCTCTAACCAAGGGACGGGCCCCTGGTGAGGCAGAAGAGCCTGGCTCCCTAGCAGGCCTGGGAAAGGCTCACGGTACACCTGAGAGACGGGCGTGTTTGAGGGAGGGCATCATTCCCAAGCCTAGGACAGAGTGTCCACCTCAGCCTGGGCCCAGCAGCCCCTGTGCCCGGCAGCTGGCAGTCCACAGCCTCCTCCGAGACCCTCAGAACTTGCAGCCCCCATCCCCTGAGAAGACTCCCAGCCCCCTGGACTGCACCAGGCCAGGGGCAGCCCTGAGCCAGGACTCAGGTGCGCATGGCTCCCTTCCCAGCTCTCGTCTCCCATCCCATCCTCTCTCTCCCGTCTCTGTTGGCCACTCTCTGGCTCTATTCCATTTGTGTGTCCAGCCTCTGGCGTTTTTCATCCTGTCTGCTCCTGTCTTGGTCCATAAGTCACAACCCTGATGGTGAGACACTCCTGCCAGCCTCCATGATGTCCCTGTGACCCACCTAGCCCTGCAGTGTCTTCTGGATCGTGGGGCTGGGGCTGGCCCTCTCCTCTGGACGTTGTTTTCTGTTTGGTGTTGGGAGGGAAGTAGGCAAGAGGAAGGGGCTGAGGACAAGTGGAGAGGGTACAGTGCTGGGGGGTAGGCCTATCCTGCTCCCCTGGGTGGGGAGGCCTGGAAGGGTAGCTTGCTGGGCCTCACAGAGCTCTGTCTGTCCTTCCCAGAACCGGCGGTGAGCCTGGAGCAGTGTGAACATCTTGTGGCAGAGCTCCAGGGCAATGTGCGCCAGGCCATGCGGCTCTACCACAGGGTAAATGTAGGCCCCACTGGTGGGAAGACAGCACGTCAGTAGTGCGAGGGGTTAAAGGTAGCTAAGAGTCCAGGACAGTCACGAGAAGGTTCTTCCTCTGGTGGTGGGATAATCTAGAACATCCTGGGCAGAGTAGGCAAGTGGGTTAAAGGCCAGGCAGGGCTACTGAATCTAGCACCTACTGGCTATTGCTGGCAGAGAGCTGGAGACTTGCGTCAGACAGCAGGGTGTGACATAGATCACCTGTCCTGGTTTGGTCAGGACAATCCCGGTTTATGCCTGTTATTGTAGTGTAATTACTGATAGCACCCCTTTTTGTTTTCAAAATTTAGTTGGTTACCTTAGATATAGGAGACAGTCCAACAGGGCCCAGGCCTTGAAAGAGAAAGTGGAGTCTGCTTGTGTTGTAAGGAGTTGCTGGGGTGATGGAGATGGAATCCTCCTTTGGAGTTACCCCTGAGATTCTGCCTCTAACTCATATCCTTTGGGCCGGGCTGGTTCTGGTCTTACTTGCTGAACTTGGGGTGTGGAACTCCCAGTCACACCCAGCAGGGCATGCAGTCCGTTCTTCTGGGGAAGGCTAGACCCAAGTGTGCCCCCCCACTTTTATATGTCTCTTGACAACTCACCTCCACCCATGGGCGTCCTGTTGCAGGTGGCCAGCTGTAAGACGCCCTCAGCGGAGCAAAGTCGCATCACTCAACTCCTCCAAGACACGTTCTGCTCAGTGCGGCAGGAGCTGGAGGCCCTGGCCGGGGTGGGGCTGTCCAGCCCGGACGGAAGCCCTGGGGCTGTGGGAACTGAGCAGACACAGGCCCTGCTAGAGCAATATTCAGAGCTGCTGCTTCGAGCTGTGGAGCGGCGCATGGAACGCAGACTCTGAGTTCCAGAAGCCTCTCCCAAGTGAATGCTCCCCTGATTCCAAACTGTAGCCCCTCCTCCACTCACCAAAGCCTGCGGGGATGCTTGGAGTGGATAGCAGGGATCATGCTGAGGAAAAGCAGCTTTTCTAGCTGCTCCTCGTGGGGCCCCGTATTTATTAATTTATTTCCCTGACTGTTGCCTCACTTCCTTGGAACTCCTGCTGACACAGCCCCTCCAGTGGCTCGTGGCAGGGGTAGGTCTTAGGTCTTAGTCATCTTGGTGCTGTGAGGGGTAGGAGGGCAGCCTTCCCCATCTGGGGAAACTGGGCAAGGCTGGCCCTCTCTTAGAAGCCATTTGAACTTACTGCAGGGATCGGCTCCCTGGGGTGGAGCACACACACGGTATTCTGTGGGTAGAGGGAAGAGGTGATGCGGTATTCAGTGCCCTTCAGCTGACAGAGGGAGCTTCACCTCTACCTCCACTTCCCCTCCCAAACCAGCTGCACTCCCCGGCTGCCAGAGCCCAGAGCGGGGATTATGTTTTCCCCGGTTCCTCGCAGAGCCCTCTGGCCCTCCAGGGCATTCCCTGCCATTAGGAGGCTCCAGTTGGTATCAGGGCCTGAGCCCCCACATTCCACTCCCGTTCCCCCTCCAAGGGGCCCCTAGCATTATCTCTATCCCTGTGCCCCTCCCCCTACTCCACTAGAGCTTGTGGAACCAGCTGTGGGAGATTGCTGCAGGACAGTAAGCCCTCTGCTGGGCAGATAGGAAGCCCTGGCCGCCTTGCCTTAGGCCCTTGGCCTTCCTGGCTCTCCATCCCTGATCCCCACCAGGCACCGCAGCCCAGAGGCCACCTGCTCCCTGCATCCTGAGAGATGCTCAATCAGAAGCCTGTGTGGGAACTTCCTTCATGGTTTACAGGGCACCAGCCCACCTTCTGAGGACCTTGGCCGCAAGATGAAACAGACAGACACACAGACACACACACACCACACACACACACCACACACACACACCACACACACACCACACACACACCACACACACCACACACCACACAC